TTACACAGTAACAAGGACTGTGTGACTAACCAAATCAGTCTCCATTGTGTTTGAAAGAAATATTGTATTAGCACACTCTTTGCATCTTCTGTTATATCATATTGTTAGAAACGATCCAATACAAAGAAATGTCACAGCCAGAACATTTGAGCATGGCAGAGCGCGAGCGGGTGGGGAGCGTGAGGATTTTGGATGGAGCACAGAGCAGATTTACAAAAAAAGTTGGTGTCACCTTCTGTCACGCTCCATCCAGTTTTGCCCTGGTATGCCCATGGTACCACTAATCCAAGCAGCTAGTAGAAATTCTCATCATTCAGTTTCACTCAAATACTCTGGTCACAGCTCATATTGCTAATACCAATCAATATCATCAGGCTTGGGGAGTAACGGATTACATGTGTTACATATGAGTTTCATCAGAATACTAAAAAAAAGAGTAGCTTTAATCCATTACAGAAAAAAAAGACGTAATCACATTACAGTTACCTTTAGTAAAACTAGGGACTATTTGTAGGATTACAATTTGTATATATAACACAGCACAGTACAGTGCAAGTTATTCCTTCTAGCTGTGAAAATGGTCAACAGGTTACTATCTGAATTTGCTTAATGAAACGTGTTTCGATAAAATTGCACTGAGCAGAGGACATATTTCTGTCTTGATTTCCCTATTTCCTTTCTAAGGTTACATTGATCTATAGTTTTATAGAATACGTAAATATAATATTTTCATATTTCTTTTCTAATGTCTTTATTTGTTTTTTTAGTATTGAGGTAATCCAAAAGTAAGGGAAAATAATAAAGTTACCTTACTTTAATATTCAGATACTTTGATTAGGTTACTGACAATTTATAGCAGGTAATTAGTAATTATGCCAGATTTTCAACCCTGAATATCACTGCCAGTACATTTCATTGCGAAGAATTCTCAATATACTTGATGTAAATTATGTAAGCTCCCTTATCATTTCTTTTTAATGAACTCTTCAGTGGGCTATGTATATGAACAAAATACTGCTACTGTATGGAGAGCCTCTCTGAAAATAACACAGTTGGTGACATTTTCCATAAAATTATAATAATTATATATACAATCAAAATACATTTTCACTGTGCCATTGTGGGGACTGACCGAGGGCTGAGACATGTGGTGATTCAGTGAGAAGGAAACTGCTAAAACGTTGAAATGTTGCACAACAATGGTTCATTTCTTGACAGCAGGTGAAGATAATGCTGTGATCTGTGTTAAAATCTATTTAAACACATAGGAGGGAGTGGGCATTGTTCATATTTGAAAAGTTATATCTTCTTCTTTTAGGCGGTCTAGGATTCTTTGCAAAACAGTGTCAATGTTAATGCTTTTGGTATCAATCTGCCCAAGAAGACATCATACATGAATGTCATCTTGTCAATTTCAACAGTGTTTCTCCTAGAATATTGTAACTGATTTCAAAAATGGTTAGTTATTGTTGTAAAACAATCCTCCTTTTAGTGCACATCAGTGTGATAATGGAGCTTAACTGTGTCTTAATCTCTGACCCATGGTCACTTGCTATCTCCAAGGTTATCTTGGAAAAACCACCCCCTTCACACTGGCTCAGATTTCCTTTAAGTTACTCCCCGACTAATGGATCTCCCTCAAAAATGTGAGCAACAATTTTTCTTTTACAGCAGCCTTTCATCTTGAAAATAACATACATTTGATTTAGTGCAAACATGTGGTTGTACAATTTGCAGTAAGATATTTGTTTATGGAAACTGGAGTTTGCTCAGGGCTCCTATTGTATATAGTATTTTTGATTGTTTCTCCTTCACTTTGCCCATCTATCCACCTCATAGAATTATTTTCCTCTCTTTTTTTTAAATCCAGACACTCTTTTTAAAATTCCCTCAACCTCTCTATCTCTTACCTCTTTCCTCCTCACCTAAAGCCCTTTTGGTGCTGACACAGATGGGTGCTCTGTTAGTTCATGCTAGCTGACCCTTTAGGTAAACCCCTCTGCCCCACCGGACGCTATTGTTTGCAAACTATGACAAAGTATCAGATTTACCCTTTTCTTTAGGTGCAGGCAGCGTGGAGGAACAAGGGATGTTCCTTCTTCCTTATGTATCACTCCCCCATCGTATGGTGCACGCATTCACTGACATACGTAGACATGCCTGCGCGTGCTCTCTCTCTCTTTTACACACACACACACACACACACACTCAACACACATTCCAAGAAAAGTGAGAGAAACCCACTGTGGTTAGACTGCTTTTCTGAATAGAAGTCAGCCTTTGTCATTGAAGGACAAAGCCTTATTAAATTAAGTTAAGTGATTATTTGGCATTCGCTAAAGTTGCTCCAAGGCACAGAATTAAACACACACACACACAGATATCCTAATTAGCTAAATGAGTCATTAATTTTAGTGGAGCGTTATTAAGATAAAGTTAATGAAGGTAAGACTAATTAAGACATGATGAATCGACATGTCTGTTACAGCCATTAACACGTTATCTACTGCTTCTCTGTTATCACTCTTATCTGCTTTTACTGCAGAATGTCGTCTGGAAATTAGACATTAAAGTGTCATCCAGCTGGTTTATCTTAGAGATTGACATTAGCTGGGACTTTGCGGGAAGTTAATTTTCTTTAGATTAGCTCACAACTTTTACAAATCATCATCATTATTTTTATTCTGTAGCAATGTCTTTACAGGCAGAAACTACTGTGTGCATCCTGCTGCTTTAGCTGCATAATCTAGCTAAACAGGATATGAATTGGAAGCTTGGAAGTGCTGTTGCCAGAACAGAAAAGAAAGGTCCAAACTCCTTATAACTCCCATTCAAGAAGGATGTGCCGGAACAAGCGTTGAGCTGATGAATCAACTATAATCTCACCAGGTGTGTGCTGGAAAATGTTGTAATTGACCTACATTAGTGGAAAATCTCATATAGACATTCAGACAGAAGACCCCCAGAAAATCCCAATAGTCTGAAAAATGTCCCATTGGAATGAAAGCCCATTTGTCCATCAGCATGTTACTCTGAAAACAAAATAATAGAACAAATACAATACAAAATACACACTCCCTTGAGTTTTTTTTCCCCCTTATTGTCTTACTACATTTGGATGGGTAGGCAGATGAAGTCAGGTGTTGTCATGGTAACAATAATAAGCATGTGGTTAACATAAAACAGTCATAGTTTGATTAGGTTTGCAAAACTACTTAATTGGGTTCAGGGTTCAAGATCATGGTTTGGGTTAAAATAGGTATGTTAGTTACATCACTTGCGTTGTACGTACATTAGACAGTGTTACCAAAGTGTGTACTGGGTAACAATGGGTAAATAATGGGCTGTCAGACAAATGGGCTTTCAGTTCAATGGGACATTTTTTGGACTATTGGGGTTTCAGAAGACTGAGTTGTCGGAACAATGGCATGGCACCATATCGGCCACACTTTTACAACTTGCAAGCAGTGGTAAAAGTCACAAAAATTACACAATTACAGGATAAGGCCATGTTCAGACCAAATGGCACTGTGTGAAAAAAACACAGCTGTTTTTCATTTGTTTTTTTGAGACTACCGCATTGACGCAGTGTTGGGACATGCACATGGTTCTGGAAAACAAATGCTTGGCCATTCATCAAAAAAACTTTAACTTGAGTCAACCTTTCTTCCAACACAATAGAATGCCCTTTGGAAATGCATTGCGTTGGTCAATGAAATATGTGTATTCTTTTAAGCACCTGTAACAAGAGCAGTGGGACCAATTGAGGTCAAGGCAATTACCTAGTAAATATGACATGGTCAAATGATAATATTTATCGACCTGTGTGACAGGATGCTTTAAGTAAACATAGACAACAGAGCCTGAGGGGTCTTTCTTTCTCTTCTATCTTGTTTACGAAGGGAAGGTCACAGACTTTGTAGAACAGAGTGTTATAATTACCCTGATGTCCTGAGATGAGTTTCACTTTGTTTTGAGAAGACTCTTCAAGTGTGCCATGTGTAATTTTCACTCCTCTCCCTTACATTGCTGACCTTCCTCCCCATTGAGTGTAGAGTGAAGTGGTGTGGCCAGATTATGATAAACTTGTCTGTGCAGGTGTGAGTGACAGTCGAAAGGACTCTCTAAGAGCTCAGTTTCCAGTCAAATAAAAGTCAGTCAGTGTTAGCAAAGAAAAAAGGAACAAGAACAGAAACCTCATGAGAAGGCTGTGGCATGAAGAAATATTACACATTATAAATATAAATCACAAATAAGCTTGAGTGTTTGTGTTTGTTCATAACTTTATTATTGTTCTGCTCTGCAATATGGTCTTATGTGTCCTGTGAGCTGTACTTCCGAGATAATACTGAATTGGACTTAAGCTGCTTCTTCTTGTGTTCTCCAACAAAGCACAATATATTATGCAGCAGCATGGCAGACCACATACCAGAGAAATAGAGAGGCAGGCCTGATAACACACTTCTGCGGTTTTGGCTAATTACCCAATTTAACAATGTAGCTAACATTGTGTTCTTAATTATGCTTAGTTACATATTCAGAGTGGTGGAGGTCTGTGTGTCCTTTTTCCACTCAATTTAATTGTTTTAAACAAACAAGGCAAAATATTCAGTAGTGGTATGAGGTTTGGCACTGGGCTGGTTTGTAATGCATCTCCAAAAGAAAGCACATCATTAACACTGGAGAGACTGAATGTTTTATACAGAGTGGTTATCCACTTACTGATGGCTTTATAGCTACAGTATGTAGCGGAAACTTGAAACAGTAAAAGCTGTACAGAACTAGATTAGAAAACTAAGCCCTCATTAACCATCATTTAAATCCATGTTTATAACACTCAGAGGTCATATTCAATAGGTCCACAATAATGATGAAAACAAAATGTTTTATACAATGTTTCCCAGTTGGACGGAGACATGAAAGATGCACAACACTGATGAGATGATTGGAGATGGCAGGTTGGGCAATCTAACCTTGTGTGATCACGGGCAGCGGGGCAGAGCCATTGAACATAGAGGTCAAGGGGGCACAAACAAAAAATAGAATGATTGTGCATTTTGGGATGGTTTGTTGAGTTCCTTTGTTTGTGTTTGTATTCAGTCAGCAGCATTACCAGAATGCGTCCGCTCATTGTAACAGTGGTTGCTTTTATCTTCATTCACCAAGGGGTCACTTAAGCTATATGGGTGCCACGATGAGGCATCCAAGCAGAAGCACATGAGTCTTGAATGAGGATGAGATAGAAGGGTTAGGAAAAAGAGAGGTGGATAAATGAGAGCAGTGGCTGTGTTGTGTTTAATGCTCTGGCAGTGACTGGTGCCTGACTAATGTGGCGCAATACACTGGGTACTGAAAGCATGGCCAAGGGTTCCTTCCTGGGCACGAGTTTCTGGGTTGGAGCTTCTGCTTAATTGGACAGCTTGACCATTTTCCCCACATATTATTACAAAAGAGGATGTTGTAAGCTTCTCTTCTCTCCTCTAATGATTTTTGCTCTCCTTTTTGCTCTTCCAGGTTTGCTTACCCAATATTGACATCACTTCAGCATGGAGTGCTTGCTACCAGTGCTATAATCAGAGATTGAGAGACAGATATATGTTGTTACTCTCTTTCCTCCAGGTAACAGCCTTTCTCACTCGACCGTGACAAGCCCAGCAGATACTTTCACTAAGGGGGTCATACAATAATACCCCCTTCTCTTACTGCAAGTTGTAGGGGTTCTCCCTGCCTAATTCAGAGCAGAAACTCTTCGTAGTCAGTGGGTGCCGTATATTAACTTACAGGAATGCAGGCTTTCTACTTAGAAGTGAAACTAAACACACTATCCTTTCATGATGACTTGTTTTTTGTCTGCAGGGCACTCATTTTGATAAGTGCTTTTCATGCGACACGAAATTTCAATCTGTTAAAAACAATTTTGTATGAAATGTTTACATCAGTAAAATATTAGGGTCACTGCAATGTTCTGATTGTGGTGAGACATTATACAAATGGAACATTAATCCTAACTTGCACAAGATTATTTATGAGCCGGATGTTAAAAATCTTGTTAAAATTCTATAGCTGCACCTGGCACACTAAAGACATGCCTGTGGATGAGGGAGACTATGGGAGGACCGATGTGGAATGAGGGTTGGAGTTGTTAGACTTGCATGAGAACAATGCTAAATATAATAATTCTACAAAATATACTTTTCTTTATTCTTGAAGAAAATATCGATGGGAATGTACCATGGTAATTTTAGAACTAACACCTGGGCTAACTGGGCAGGATGAAAGACATGTTGTGTCACATTTCTGCTCCATGTCCAGCAATAAGTCAAAATGAGGTGCAATTTCCTCTTGACTAATTAGTGTGGAATTGGTGCTGTTTTATCAACCTCCCTGGGGCCTCAGCAAAGTGAGCTTCTAGCTGGAGCTACAGAATGCAGGAAGTTGTCTAGATGATTATAGACAGAGGGACAGGCAAGACAGGGGCAGAGAGGTGTGAAAAGAAAGAGAGGAGAGACAGAAGATATCTGCCAGAGGTTGTTGTATGTTGGTTTTATACAAGGGCTGACACAGAAGCCCAATGGTCCCATTGTTGTCAAAGAAGCAACTCAAAATGACCTGAGAAAGATGCTTCTCACTTCAGGTTATGTTAAGAGTACTGACGGAGCTTTCGAGCCATGCAACAGGTCAGTAATGACCCTGTTCTATAATGCTTTTTCACAGACACAGACAGAGTGAACTGAGTGTTGATTGTTTGTCTGTAGACACGGATTATTCTCTTTCCACAAAAAAGGCTATTTCTTATAATAAAAAAAGACAGAATGGTCTTGGTCGGTGTCAGCTTTTCCCCCCCTTTTTCACAATTGTGCTTCTCCAGTTTTGTTGGTATCCATGTTTTGTCCTCCCATTACGCCTCCCCCCTTCATCTTTTCTGACCCTCTGTGATTTAGAGTAGGTAGATTGTATTCAGTAAAGACAGAACAGTCCAAGGCTGAATGGGAATTATTGGTTTTTTGTCAGAGTCATGTTCTGATTGAAGGTATAAATCTGAGTGCAAGGATAGAGGTTCATGGATCCCTTCTGTTTGACCTCAGCTTAACACCAGAAGCCCAAGTAAAAGAGACGCCCCAGATCGATCGATCAAGCCCTTCTTTGCCCCAGACTCCCCTACTATTGACAAGGTCAGTTAATCCTTCATTAAATGTCAGAACACACAGTGTTTATGGGCTCAGCTGACACTGCTGATGTGCACATTCAGGGGTCAGCAGTGGCAAGCAAATTGATTTGATTAAAATGCACAAAGGAGCATTACAAGGCCCCTTAACTTGTATTGTCTTTGGAAAGAACAGTAAGCATAGAAAACATTAAAGCATAAATGCTAATGATTTGGTTTGCACTAATGTTCTTTTCATCACAGCTTATCTGGTAATGACTTCAATCAATTTAAAATAAAGTGTCTGACTTTTGCATGCCAGTCTGCTACTGGCATTAGTTTTGGTTTACCATGATCAAGCAGTTTGTGGTTCCCTAAATTTAACCAAACCATGGAGGCATATCAGAAACTCTCACATCAGTCATGTTTTTAATGGTCATATGGATAATTTTGAATGGAACCGACAAACAATGCCATCCTCTTGATTAGGAGGAACTGTCAGAACTATTCTGACAGCTGTAGCAAGATTATAGTGATTATGATGAGTTTTTGCTGGTGACAGCTTTAATTCTGTTAATATTTTGACTTCACTGATGAGAGACATTGTCTTCAGACTACTGGAGTTACAGGCTTAGAGGTGAGGCTTAACCCAGAGTGACACAGGCTCTTAGCTGATCCCTTTCTTTTCTGATCAAAGTCTCAGCAGAGGTATAATCCCAAGTCTTCAGTATTGGTTTTTAATGAAGTTTAACCTTTAACCCCAAATAAGCCCCAATATACCATGAAGATAGTCACTAGGTGGCGGCTGAGTTTGTCATTTCCTTTAAAAAATTATAGAGTGTGAAAGCAGTTTCCTTTTAACAGGCACATTTTTGTTCCTCATGGAGCAAAACCATTAGAAAATATTGAATGTTGATTATTATTTCAAGGCTGTATGAGTTGGCAGAGATGGGTAAGCAGGGAAAGTCACATCTGTGGTAAGAGTAGTGTATCAGCAGGTTGGAACTTTTTGAAACTGGAGAAACAGTAGCTCCTGTGTTCTTACTAACTACTTTTTCATTGGCACTGCCCACAAAGAGGGGAAAAAAGATGGTAGAGTCAGTTCTGTTTGCCTAGAAGAAGTTATTGTTATGTCTACTTCCAGAAGGTATACCATTACATGCTGGGCTATGGTTTAGTGCTTTATGGTTTTTTCTCTCTCTCTCATTTTCCTCTTCACACCTTGAGCTACATAGGGCTGGCAGTGTTAACCACCAGGAGTGTGCCAGAGAGAGACAGAAAGTGAAGTGTATGGTCATGTCAATTCGGTTTGTTATAGCGTGAAGGAAGTGAGCTGTGTGATGTCTAGAGCGCTGTCACTCCGAGCTGAGTAAATAAACAGCATCGGAAACACACAAACACACACGCACATCCAATGTTAACAGAAAATGACACACATCGTAACTCATTCTCCTGATCTTTCTCTCTCCTTTTACCCTCTCTTCCTCCCTGAAAAGCGAGATTCTGCTTTGACATATCAGATTTGCAAACATAGGTGTTTTATTCTGAAGTGATTTATTACTTTTGTACAGTAAATCTGCGAAAATGCAGCAGTTTTACAAACCTCATAAAATATACAATTTATGTGACGGATGTTGGATTTAATGATGGAGTAAAATAGCCTCAGCAACATAAGTTATGAAAATAGAGTTTCCAGTGTAGACTTTGTTACAGGTTTGGTTGTGCAGATCTCACTGTTGTTTCATTGCTTCTTGGGCACAGTATATATTTATTGTAACGTTCTGTTTGTAGTAAAATACAGGGCTTACTTTGGTGTGTTAACATTGAATTTCTGAATATTTTGAGACAGATCCAGTCAAAGTCAGTCATATGTTTAAAATGTGTCTACATTTTTTCTAGAAAGGATGTATTTTTGTGTGCCATCAGGATCAGTGCAGATAATCATCAGCAAGCCATTCATGTAAGCAGAATAGTTTACAGTGTCCAAACTCAGTTTATGAAACGATATTTACAGAAGTCCTACAGGATCGTGTGATGGTTTCTTTCTAAGGAAGCAAAAGCACTAATATTATTGTCCAGTTAATGCATTAATAGATGGCTAAGGCAGAAATGGTGCATGACTTAAGCTGCTCTGTACTTCTGGTTTGTATCTCCCAACTGTAAAAGCTCAGTTGGGACAAATACAGTTTAGAACAGGAGCTGATTCACCAGCAGATAACAGATCATGTAGCACCTTTGCCTATCTCCAAATATCATAAATATCACTGAGTTGGAACTTTAAGTGCTTAGCGAGGACATCTTGCAATGAGTCCAAACCTTGAGCAAAACCCAGCTTCAAAGTGCTACCAGCTCTAAAGCTGACCCTGCACTCTAACCTCCAAGATGGAAGGCAAACAAAACACATTACATCAACACTGTGTGGCTTTTACACTTTTCACAAAGTTATCATAGGTTCTGCTTACAAATGTCATATTGTGTTCCTATATCACCCTACACTCTGCTAGCCTGTTTCCATGTTGTGTCTCATCTCATACAAAGATTCCTTATTTTGTGTACATTTTTATTATTGTTATTGGAGCATGTGACTAAGAAAGTTGCTGTTACAGCCCCCATCCATGTTCATGTAATCTCTGGGTGGCTACATGTGAGTCAGAGAGGTTTTGTGTTTTTGTTGTTCCCTCTGGAGGTGAGAAGCAGGTAGCCTGAAGACTAAAATATTGATGGATGATAATAAATTCATGTGGTTAGTGTGCCAGTGAAGCAAATCCAAACAGACTTTGTGTCTACTGATCTTAGTCTTGAAACCCATATGGGGCAAACTGCTATTGTCCTCTAGAGAAGCAATGTTGTGAATGAAATGAAATTTGCATATCTACGTAGTGATATTTGAGAATAGTGTATGATTATTCTTCAAATGTTAATGTGCTTACAGAATGTATGTTTTCCCTGCATCATTGTATGAACTGGCAAAATGCATACTCTCAGCTTTACAATAATGGACCCATGGTTGCCACAGTAAGGGTGTGGTTGCTTCGGTGTTGAAGATGATGCACTGTTCTCAGTAATTAATTCATAACTCAGGTTTTTTGCTGTAGTTTTCATCAATTTTTCATCAAGAAAGAGTAAATCACCAACAGCATGTGGTTTGTTCAATCATGAATAGTGCACAGCATACTCTGTCTATTTATGCCATACTCTCATAAGTCTGCTTAGAAGAGTTGGAGTGGAAAAAAGATCTCCTACATTTTGTTTGATGACAGCGATGACATATACGCTAAAGTATGATTTTACTCTAGCCCAACTAGTGTTCTAAATAGTACTACTAGTGTTCAGCAGTGGTCAGATCTGAAATGTTTTTTATTGGATATTGTCTCCCAGATGCCCCTGGAGTAAGTTAGTGAAGACTTGAGCTGATCCCAGTAGCTCCCAAAGGGAATAAAAGCTTTCCTTTTTTCCTTAATACCAAGACCTGCCAGCTCACACAGCTGGCTTCCATCACTGCATGTTTGTGTATGTGTGTATAATAACCACAATGCCAATGCATCAGTCCTGTTATAGGCAGCAACCCAATATCCATGGCAGTGGGGCAAACTGCGTCACTGCATCATGTATCTCATCTTGTCGGGGGCATGGGAATAAAATACAATGGGATTTAAATTCTAATTTATTCCACTCAGAGGAGAGTAAGGCAGATGAAACATGAATGCCTTGACGAATCAAAGAAAACCATTCTAGACAGGCTATTCCATACTTAAAGCTGTAATATTATTTGTTAGTTTTTATTCATGCACTTTTCCGGATGTGAGCTTTTTTTTCCCCTTGCGTGCGGCCTGTTCCAGTCACTCAATGCTGCCCATCGTGAAGCTAATCTTAACTACAGCTGGGTGGGTGGATGCATGGGTGAACTATGCAGGCCGGTATTGTAAAGGGTAGGTGGGTGGCAAATGTGGTTAATTTGCTTGTCTTGGGCTTGTGGTTCATTTTGCTGAGCCAAATCCTCTCATTTAGGGGATTATGTTCCCAGGCTTGCGGAGAGTAGGTGGGGGTCAGACAGGATGAAACAGAGACTGGATAGAGGAAGGGAGAAAGTGATGGAAACAGTTTTTGGGGTGGGGTAGAGGTGCAGAGGGATGGAGAGACATGGCAGCAGATGGGGGTTAACGTAAATACTGGTGTGGAGTTGGGGGAGGTGATGCTCAGAGAGAGGCAGAAGAGGAAAGCAGCTTGTGGAGAGATCTGAGGGTTGGGGGTGTACTTGTGTGGCAGGAGGTGTGGTGAGGTGGGGAGAGTATTGTTTAAGGAGGTCTGAGTGAACTCTGATGGGGGGCTCCAGCTTTCAATGGCTATTGATAGATCTCCTCCACTGCTGTTCTACTCCACAACCATGGAGCCCCACTTCCAAACATACCATCCCTCTTTGCAAGTTAAAGAAGCCCCCCTACCTTACTGCGCTTGCACATATGAGTTGATGAACTCTGAGATGATCGGAGTACTCTCAGCTCTCTGTCTTGGTGAATAGAAGAGTTGAGACCATGAGGTTGAATTGGTGCTTCAGAAAGGGGAATCTCCTTGAAACACACAACTCCCTTTGGATTCGGTAAAAGCCTCCACATAGTCAAGGACATGTCCCTCTTTTCATTGGACCAATGTTATTCAATATATTTTTGAATCATAGTTGAGTGACCAAGGAGGATAATATTCAACAATTTTTCAAAGACTGTAAAGCTGAAGGAAATTTTGAATCTGGAAACACACAGAAAACGTATTTCCAGGTCATTTAGAAATAACTAATTTGAGGGTTATTAAAGAGCAAGGCTGAAGTAGAGAAATTAAAAAGATAAAGAGAATTAGAGAAAGTGAAGGAGGATGCATAGAATGGATGAGTTGGAATAAGATGTGAATTGAGAGGGTTCAGTGGGGTTCAGTAGAGAAGTGGAGAACTCTTGAATTGGAAACTCTGAATACCTCGTTTATGTCAGGAACTGGGACATTCTCACCACTGTCTTTTTTTCTCTTTGAGGAAGGGCCAGGAAGATTAAACAGCCAACTGTCAAGCCTGCATATGCATTTTTGATGAGAATCATAAGTGACAGTGTTTCAAATAAGATCTTAAATGGCATTGTTGATGTGGCATATAGTACAGGAGGCCATAGTTGCTGTTATCCACTTAACACTTGAACATCAAATGCATGAAAACACTTTGCAGTTATCAACATGTAAGGAGTATGGCCAGTGGAAGTGTGGAGTAACATTCTCAAGTGGGCCATTCACTCCTAATTCACCTCAAACAATTGCTCCGTCTGGCCTTAGTTATGGCAGATTGTGTTACATGATCCTTGGAATAATTAACTGGTACGTCAACACTGCCAATCCCACATTGCAAAGAAAAGGATCTGTCTGTTCCAGCCCCTAATCCAGTCTGTTTGGGAAGCAGAGACTGTGGCGTGACACTTGTTCCCCATAGTCTCCAGTGTTCTCCCTGGAACCTCCAAGCGCCAGCTCTCATTAGCATAACCGTGAGGCCCATCCACTCACTACAGGATTAGTTCAGCTCTCCTCCCACTGTCTGATGGCTCTTTATCCAAATGGATACAGCCTGTTAGAGGTCTTAACCACACCATTGCCACTGAAGTCATTATCATTCACCACAAGAAGGAATCAGCTCACTGAGGGTCTGCTGTTTAGAGTGAGATTGACATCTCATTTGGGATGGTTTAAGAGAAAAGACAGGGAACTCCCCTTCAGACTATGATGGAGTAGCCAATAAATGGCCAATCAATCTGCCTTTATGCTTAAGTGACTATTTAAAATTGTTAATCTGGTCTTGCACTGTTTTTGGAGCACTGTATTTGTGTAAAATGTGGAATTACTCTTGGTAGAGAGATTTATTGTTGTTAATAGAGATTTAATCATGGTGTAAAAGTTTTTACACTTCTTCATGTCAGTGCAAGTTGAGTTATTATTCTGTATATCCTCCTTGGAATGATGTTCTTTACTCAGTACTAGAACTGAGGTACTTCTGGTTTTTCTTTCACAGAATGAGATTTGTCACACTTTGACCCATAAAACAGACTGATTAGCTTGAAATTAAGTTAAGCTTGAAAATAACTTCTGTGTTCACTCATGTGATTGTTGAAACATAAGTGGCGCCATCACCAGACAGATGGGGCTGACAAGATGTATTTGTCTATTGTCCGGATACAAAATCATGAGCTACAACACTGTAATGTCATCTTCACCACTAATCCATCAGACTCAGGTAAACTACATTGCTGATGTTTTACATTGGGATGGAGCCAGTTATCGCATTGCAGTTGGTATAGTCCTTTGCAGTCCCACTTGGTCTGGCTTCTGCACATAGGATAGAAAAACTATATCTCATCTGTCATGTAAATTAGATCTTTTTGATTTGACATGCTTTGCTGATACATTAAATAACAGTAAACATAACAGTGTGACTCCTTGGAATGAAGAGCATAATACATTTGAGTACAAGTGAGATTATAAATTATGTATGCCTAATTTATGACACAGTTGGTCTTCTGGGATCATAGATAGATCATTATGGATTCCTTCAAGTATTATATGGGTCTTCAGAATGAGAAATAAGGAACAGATAAAGGAACAGTGCAAGAAAGAAACAGTGGGGATTAAACTGATTTAAAAATGATTTCCAGCAGCTAATCCTACCGCTAATCGCTAATACATCCATAATGCCCGAAAACTGTAAAAATGCAATAAAAATTGTGAAAAACATCTTGTGCACAATTAACATTGAGAGAAGGCAAATAAGATTATCTTAAAAGTACATTTGACATGTGTGGTAAACATGATAATGGATTAATTAAATAAAAATATGTATTATTTTTTTATTTGTAAAAGTTGCAAAAACTAATAAAAAAACAATTGTGTTTTTGCATTTCAGGGTCTTATCTATACTGAAAAACTAAATCTACATTTTTTTTTAGTAAGAATGAGTTTCCTCAGAATGTTCTGCTTTCATGTTCCGCTACTTTTCCTGTTTTCACACTCCATCTAACCTCTTGCCTTGCCCTAACCTTCCCTACTCCTACTATTTTTGCTTTCACTGTTTTCTTTTCTCTCATGTTTTCTATGCTCTCACTTACCCAGTCTCCCACCTACACTGCACTCTCTTCTTTTCTTAATCCTTCTCTCTCTTTCTCTCTCTCTCTCTCTCTCTTCTTTCTTTTTCTCTTCTCTCTCGCACACATACACATACACAAACTGCTGTCTGCCTCAGCTGTTCTCAGTTGCACTGTGTGCCTTGTGCTGTGGGGACAGGGCAGAGCTGCGCTGAGTGGGGCTGAACTAGTCCAGAGCAGTGTTAAGTAGAGAGAGAGGAACATAGAAAAACAGAGTGAAAGGGGGAGAGAGAGAGTCAGTGCAGATTGTGCTTACCAAGCAGACTGGATTAACAGCTGAAACAAACTGGACCTGTTTTTCTCTCTTTAGCTTAAGGTAGAGATTCAGCAATAACGTGGATGGCTGTTCAGACAGAGCTGCATGCTGGTTAGGTACAAGGACAGAAAACTATGGCAGTTGTACCCAGACCCGCTCACTTTCCCAAGCATTTAGTATGGTGAAGATCTCTTATTTATGCTTATTTTGGTTAAGTTTAACTTGGACTTACTGGTGCGGGAGGCTCACTTGCAGTGACATTGACCCATAACCCCCAACTCTGCTTTGCAGGTTCTGTCTCCCTTGGAGTTGGACTCTAATTTTGGCTTTTGACCCCTGGAACAAGGAAAGGGTTTTTGATTTGGCTGTGGACGAGACCTGCTGAGAACCAGTCTAGACTGACCCACCAGCATTTATTCATAATCACTGGACAGCAGGAACATTTCTGCTACCAGCATTTCTTCTACTACACCAGATCTGAGACTGACCGCACTGGAGACGTGTATTTAAAGGACCTCTCTGGTCTCTATTGCCCCAGGACCATGGGCTCTCTCTGGGGCAGCATTATGCTGCTGTGTGGGGTGGTTCTGCTCAGGACAGAGGGAAGTGGAGTCCAACAGACCAAGAACAATATCCCCCGGCTAAAACTCTCGTATAAAGGTGAGTTCCTTGCATTTCCTTTCATAAATAGTAAATCTCCAAATGATTCAGAGGTTGATCAATTGCCTAAGAGTCACATATGGTAGGTCAATGAGGTGATTACTTGAAAATCAATGTCTATTGAATTTGTTATAACAGGGAGATCCTAGATGTCTGTGAGACAAAGAGATGCCTTTGCTCTGTTCATATGTAAAAATACCAGCAAAGTAAAAGCAGGTTGCTTCTTAAGGCTTATTGAGCCTTACAGTTTATCAGGTATATGGTCTGGTCATGTGATGGAATAATGCATATCTGTCCTATATGATTTCAGTCAGGTAGTTGCAATCCATTTTTTGAACATGAAAACTGTTTTATATGATATTAAATCATCTAAATGTCTCTAAAGCAAGTTACCATTTAATGTTCAGCCCTGCTGATAACTCTTCCAAATATAGTACTTATGTTCCATTACATTCAGTTTAGCTGAAAAATGTGCAAAAAAATGTGTTGATCTAATAGAAACCTTGTGGCTGGTGTTATATGTGTATATGTAATATGTAATATCAATAACTGACTATATATACTATCACGCTAAAAAAGAGCAGTTTATTTAGGAAAATAACTTCACTTGCCAAATCAAAAGATGTGCTCCTCACTTAATGTTTATTAAAGAAGTCTGTTTCTGATGCACACTCAATCTCTCTGTTCCTGTTTTGATCAACTGCTGTTGTCAGTTTTGCAATGAAAAGTGGTGCCAGACATGGACTGCCTGGCAGTTGAGCGTCATTTATCCCTCTCTCCCTTTCTTTTTTTCTGGATGTCATTTTTCCGCTCCGTTTTTTCCTGCATGGTAATTATACTCAGGATGAATGGTGCAGGTCTGTTTCAGCAGATGGCTTTTCCAAAGAGAAATGTTTCTCGCTCAGCGCTGGGAGATCCATAATTATACACACAAATGTGCGCAAACACACACACACATAAATACATGGCCATCTGTAGATAGCTAATGATACCTGTGAGCATATCAGTCATTTAAAACAACATGCTGTCAGTTTGGTGAAACACGCCCATGCAGTGATATCTCTATTAGAAGTCAGGCCTCCAGGTAGCAGCCTGGCCAGCTTGGTTATTTGGCTGCCATCTCCACATTCAGTATTTCCACTGAACTTCCACATTCCACATTTAGGCTGGTGGGGACAATATCTGACACAATCCCCACTGTAGGTTCCATTAGGCAAGTGACATGGAATTATTGCATTATGAATCATTTATAACATCATATAAATTATTTATTACCCCTGTGATAGGTGAAGCAGACTCAGATTTACTCATGGAGAGAAGGAAATCAAATGATTCACTCTGGTAAATTACAGAACACTATCTGCCTAGACAGCTTGAGAAGTTGTCCAGTCCTGAGCAAGGAATGCCTGGTCAGTGACACATGGGACAGTGAGGTGAAGGAACTATGACCCCTACAGGTCACTGGGAATACTGGGAAAATCTATGTGTGCCAAAATTAATGTGTCTGTATGGGAGCAGGCATCCACACACTTCCACATGTTTTTGACTCTACTGAAGACTTAACTCCTATGAACACAGCAGGGAAGTGTTTACCTCAAAAGCGTGAACCTGACCAGCAGTCTACTCCCCCACAGTATGAGCCCTTCAGTGAACATAGTTAGGCTCTGGAGCATACATACCAACTTCCTTGAACAACCACCACACACACACACACATCCCAAACCTTCCCACTGAACCCCAGGAGATTCCAACAGATCTTTGAAAGCGAGAATCGAGGGGCAGAAGGGCAGTGGAGTAGGGGGAAAGATAACAATGATACCCCATGGCTACCTAAACATGAGCTAAGGTCCAACTGTATCAACAACTAAGTGACTGGGTGATGATGAGGTATATTGAGAGGCCATTGATTTACAGTGCACCTCAGCACCATAATTGGAAAGACTTCACATATGTTCTACTTTGACATAAACTGATATGAGATCGATTCACACCCCTGGGGTAAATTGATCCTCTTGGGAGTAAACATAGATTCATATGGTTTGCAAGTTTATGGGCCACAAGAAGTAGAGCACATGCTGTTTACTGTCCAAGGAAGGGAAGAGAGGGTACTTTAGTTTTATAGGATATGGGTGTACTGCCAAAAGTACTCCTTCGACCTGTCCACCCCTTTCCTGAGCAGAGCCAAGGCCTTGCATACTAGCACATACACATATCCACACACACGCACAGGGAAATACATTCACAGCAGCACAACACTTACTCTTGAATGGTGAAAAAAAGCCAAGAAAACTAAAACTACTTGGTTTCACTGTTCACAAAATTCTTCTTCCAGTAGTCATACATTCAGCTGTTTTTTGTTTGTTTGTGGATTGTCTCTGTGGTGTGGATTGACTTTTAATCAGAGTTTGATAATGGAGAAGTTCTCTTAAAGACTTTTAATCCATAAGCACGTTAAGAATCTTCGGAGCGGAGTTGGGTTTCTCGTGGTGTGTACAGTATAAACTTTGAATGGCCCTTAATGGCCATGGGAAGGTACCCTACACATTATATGTTTGGAGACTTTCTCATGTTCTGAATAGTGTGTTCCCCTCCAACTGGAGACATGCGCAGGATTTGTTTTTTGCAGTGTCCAGTTTTTGTTTGAGTTGTTTCTCAAGAACTTATCAGAGGAATCTTTGTAGTCATTTGACTTAGTCATCATCTGTACTGGCTGCAAATAAGATACACAGAAGAATAAATTTATTTATTCACTGATTACGTCTGCTTATATAATCTCCAGTGCCTATGGCTATTGGCTGACAAACAGGCACAGTGTCACGTAGGTCTGGGGAAGAACCTTTTCCACTATTGAGACAAATAAAAGTATGACAAATGTATGCCTCATTACATCAGACAAAACAAAAACCTTTTGTAACGTAATACTGATCTACTGATCTATATGACCAACATAAACAAACAAGACCATTCGATTGGCTATTTCTATTATACTTTTTTAATTAATTTTTTGTTATGTAGTTATAATTCTTAATGCCTGCCAACGGTCATATTAGGTTTCGATTTCCCTTAAAAACAAGGTGGTAGAAACACTGCCAGAATCAACACAAAATAAAAAGTTCCTTGTAAGGGCTTTAAAGGAGAAATGTGTAAGTCCTGCCAACATGCTCCAAAAAAAATTTCCTTCCTCCCACCCTCGATGCAATGACACTGTTCCAACTTGTTTTAAGTTTCACACATGTAATAATCCTTGCAATGTAATAATGTCATTAGTAGTAATGCCAAGTGGTTACAATACGACCACGAGATCATTTGTCACAAATAAGTATAAAGAGGTTGTGCTGTGATTTGAATTGATCGAATGGATAACTACATCATGATGGAGATTTTTTAAAAGTCTGAATTTATACTTTGCCAGATCTGTCTACAGGACAGCCAGCAAACAATTTTTGAAATGCTTGTTTTCTGAACAGAGTCATCAATCAGGTCTATGCTAACTTAATTCATAGTAAAGTACAACCAATAGTTGTAATCAGTAGAACAAATATTATAATAATAGACACATATTTTTTGTATAAATATGAAGTAGTCTTGCCCACACACTGCTACAATAACAACAGTGGAGGACGACACCTCCATGGTGCACTGCTGTCGCAGACAGGTTGAGAAGCGAGAGTGAAGATAAATCCACTTTTTAATCCCAATAGTTTAAAAAATAAACTCCAAGCTCTCCTCCTGCCAGTAAACGGCTCCGGATCAGAGCAGAATCTGGCATGACTCCCATGGGCTGCTCCCAGGCTAGATCCCGACTTCAGCAGCTGTCTGTTGGCGAGCAGAAGCTCTGCCCTCCGCTCAGTTCTCCACTCCATCGTTCTCAGGTTGAAGGGCAGACTGGACACTAAAGTGACTCACAATCACCTCTTGAGGAACTAGTGGTATTACGACACGGGCTGAACCTGGCTGGTTACCATGCTCATTTAAGTAGATATCTCTGCAGCAAAATACATAGACGTATCTGACATAACTTCATAGCTGTTACAGCTTCACGTTCTGTTGATAATGTTCATAAGGTTCATTTTTTAAAGTTTTAAAGTTTTTAACATTCATTAACTCAAATTCTGGCCATATCTTACACATAGCTCTTTGTCATATCTTGGGTATACCCTTATTTTCATAATTAAATCCATCAACGTCAAACCAGGCAGATTTGCCGACAAACCTGCAATATCTGAGAGAGGTTGAGAAGGTGTATTCTTGCAGTTCTGCTTGACACTGAACAAATTACTTGACTGATGAAGCTTTATGGTGTTTTGCCTCAGGCATGGATGAATCAGTGACTGTATACACTGTACATTATGCAAAGATATGTTGTGTTTTGTCAATGTGCAATCATACACTCAGTCATGAGAACGATGAACATCAGTGAAGCAACTGAACCAGGGTCAAACATCAGTGTTCCCTTGTACAGTGCAGCCACACGTGGGTTATTGTTAGGACGTGTTTCTGCTTTTTCTTAGGCAGCACTTAGATAACACTCCCTGTGCCCTCCAGTTGAGAAAGAGAAGAGAGAGAAAGACGGAGAGAATGTAGGCTAAAAGAGTTTATTTTTATCAGTCTCACATGGGACTGTTGATTCTTTGCATCCATTCCATCTGCCCCCTTATCTCTCTCTCTCTCTCTTTTTTGCTCTCACTTCCATTTTTCCCTCTTGTTCTTCTGCTCTCCCTGTCCTTCACTCACAAATTCATTGTTACAGAATAGAGAGAGATAGGGTTTTTAATAGAAATAAATGGAGTGTAGTTTGTATTTTTTTGTTTTTTGTTTTTCTACAGTAAATGGGGGAGGAATAGGGCATGGAAGAGAAAGAACATTTGCAGGATTCTTGACAAGCCTACTTCTACTCAGTTATGGGATAAAAAAGAAAATTGAATAAAATATGGCAGGGAAGCAGCTGGCACCTGTTACAGATCACTCATTTGCCTATCCACCTGTCTTTATGTCTCTGTCATTCTGTCTGTCTCTTTGTTTGTCAGCGTGAGAGTGTCTGTGTCTCTTTCAATACAACAAGGAATGCTTTGTGTAGCACATCAGTTTTATAACTTTAATTATTTGTCACAGAGCTTGCAGTGTGTCAAAAATGCTTTGAAGAAAAACTTTTCTTTTATTTGAAGTTTGCGGTTAAATGGGAGAACAAGTGTTTCTTTATCTATGCACAAGGTGTCAACCCATTGTATATTTAACCAGAGGGGACACAAGTTCAGACATGTATATGCTACTACCTCTGGCGTGGCTTGGAAACATCCTGTTTCTTTCCAATAACACACATCACAGCACGCTCCTTAACACACACACACACGCACACACTCACACACACAGATCCACACACAATACCCATAGAGTATCTGTCTCTGGATGAATAGCTTTTAATAACTTAACAGTAGTCTCTGTTGAATGGTCTGTTGCCATGGACACTACTCCCATAGACCATCTTCACAAACCAGAGAGGTGTATATGTGTATGGTGGGTGGATGTGGTGATGCTGTTCTCCATTCTCTCACATAGGGATGTGGTTTGAGGAGAAGTGAAGTTCAGTCATCATGTCCGTGCAGTTTCCCTTCAGCTCCTTGACACCTTGCTGTTTATTTGTAACAATATGCATAACCATAAATATTTCCTAGTTCTATGGAGAAAAGTAAAAATATTATTTGTGAAGGATGACTATTCTCTGTCTTAATTTTTCTCTCCCACACAGAAACGCAGCCTTGCTGCAGGTGAAAAAGGGTCAGAGGTAGCAGGCGGGTGTTATTGTGCTGTCAGTGAAGGGCTTACAGTGGATCCACTAATGATTGATCACCAAGGCTACAGAGGAACATAAATCTGGGACACAGCTTTGGACTGGGCAAAGCATTACTTTTACTGAAACTTTTTATGACCTTGAGCTTCTTTCCATTCTTAAGACAGTGGCTGTGTTATGTGCAGCCCAATAATCCCATTATACAATTACTAAAATTACAAGATAATTTACCCAATTAGATACAGATAGAGTAATCTACTGTACCTTGTCCCACATGAAGCAAAACTTGACACATGACACACAAAGACATACAAGTTTCTGTAAAAAGCAGGAAGCATTTATTGAATCATAATTGTGTAAAGTATTCATAAAACAGCTTTGGCTTGAATTGCTACATCTTTACCAGCTTTTAAGTTTGGAACCAGCACTATTTATTCATCTGAGAGGCTACAGACCGAATCTGTTCTTTAAGACCTGAAGAATACTTTCAAATTCTCATGAACTTATTAAGTAAGGGTTAGATGTCAACTTCTCAGTAGACTTTGAAGTGGGGAGTCAGACAGCCTGAGGGCTGGGTCACACAACACTGTGAGTTTATATTTAGGAGACTGTCTAAATCCATCCCCATCAGTGCTGAGGCACAGGAAACCAACTAAATCACCAAGACAATGACAATAAAGACTGAGTGTCAATCCATTGTATATTACCATCCTGTATGTACAATTTCAAATGACGGATTCACATGTGTGAACTTGCATGTATTGGAAAAAAAGGTTTGTATTTGACTGAACCAAAACGTTACATGAAGATGAGGAAGTAACAGGAGCCAAGAGGTTCTCTATTGTGTCTTATTTATCTCGTAACCCTTTCTTTTAGTTTCTGTTATTGGCTATTTGTTACCAGCATACTGGCCCCATAAGGAATATACTCGTAAACCCATTATTTAAAACCACGAAATTACAAAATATTGATTTAATTTTCATTTTGGTGATAATATTAATTTCAACAGAATAATTATTATTATTATTAAAATGTTAGCATTTATGAATGAGTAAAATCTGTCAATTTTCTTTTCTTTTATATCAGCTTTGCTCCAGCTTGCGTCTTGTCATTCTCTTGGGTTCTGACACACTTCAGAGAAGGGGCATCCTCCTTTCTAAAACATTCATGAATGTTTTTGTTATTTACTCCCCGAGAAAGATTAAGAGACAAAGAAAGAAAAAGAGCACCAAAGGAACCAGTTTTCCTCTGTTCCATTACTCTCCACCCTTTTGTGTGGGTGGTCAGTGGGAGGGGGTCATAGTGTGGTTAGACTTGCGGGTGAGAACAAAATGTGAGAAGGACAGAGCATGAATGTGAGTGTGTATGCACATGTTACACAAAAGGTGTTATAATGCCATAGCCATAATGCCACCTTTAGAGGTCATTACGGTAATGAGATCCTCAATGTCTGTTTGTGACAAGTTGGGCTTTCTGCTGTGAAAGCAAATGTCACTTCTTTGACAGACTTGGCAGGCCATTGCATTACACTGCAAAACGTGAGCTGTAGCCCATAGTAACGGGCCCTAATAGCTGATGTGGTTTAGCTTAATCCTGCAGTTAGTACTATGAAATATTAGCAGAGTCATATGACATTACATATTCCTCACAGTTTTCCACTGTAAGTGTTCTAAGTTCTGCTTGGCTGCTCTGGTCAAGGTCACTTCCCCATGCAGACAGTTTGGTCATTGGCTCCCAGTACTGGCATTACTTGCCCAATCCAATTTGGCTTGGCAGTGGTTTTCACTATCTGTCAGTTGCCTTGCTTGGCCAAGCTTCACAATTTTTAGTGCTGATTTCTAAAATGAACTGAAGCTTTTACAACAACAGTACAACATAATGCTTTGACAAACAGAAGAAGCAGACCACTCTATTAGGGATATAGCCAAAACAACCTTATGATCCTCAAGCTGTCAGTGTATGTGGCACATTAAACTGAGCAGACAGACTAGTGAATGGAGAGGTGAATCAATGGTCACAGAAACTAGGTAGTTGGAAATGTTTAAAGCTTTCTAAGGTTGTGTCTTTAAATAGCCCCTGGAAATTTAATAGAATAACTGAAAGAAATATTAACCTGATGGGTTTTTCTTTGGCTTTCATGCTGCCCACAGTTACAGTGATTTTCACAAAGTGATTATCATATTATGCTGATCATTGCTTTTCTTTCCATTTTTCTCTGCAGACATGTTGGAGTCTAACAACCTTGTGACATTTGAAGGTCTGGCCAACAGTTCGGCTTACCACACCTTCCTGTTGGATGAGGAGAAAGGGAGACTCGTGGTGGGAGCCAAGGACCACATCTTCTCTTTTAACCTCCTCAATGTCAGCAGAGACTACGCACAGGTAAAACCAATGTTTGATTTTCAGTCAGTCTGTCTGGTGGTTTCATCCATTTATCCATTTATCCTGACTGTATGCCAGTTTGTGTTTCTGGCTGATTTTATATCAGTATTTGTGTGTGCATCTCCATCCAGAGTGCCAGTCAGGGGCTCAGGTATCTCAGGACTTTCTTTTCTGTTTCGACAGAAAAGTGCCTCGTGAATATTTTAGACCAGGGCTGTCGCACACGATCACACGCTGTGCCAGGCATGTTAGCTGCTGTCTGCACACCTGGATGAATAATGCAGTAAACTGAAACAAAGTGGATAACAAATCGCATTGTGACCCCTTCAACCCTCACATATAAACATGCATGCACAGCTGTAGCTGTATTGACTCATTATGTAAAATTGATTCTTGGAGGGGGTAATTCTTTTCTAACATGTGCAGGAACTGTGTTTGTGTTGCAGATCCCTTGGCCAGCTTCTCCCACCAGAAGAGATGAATGCAAGTGGGCAGGAAAAGATCTCTCGGTAAGAGCTAAAACCAGCCATCTTGCAAGTGGGTGTCAGCATTTTGCCCCTCAACTCCCACAGATGTTTTGAAAATGTCTTTGTTCTCTTGTTCTATGAAAGATGTGCAACTCTGCAGGTCTTAAAGTAAACCTTACCTTATGTAGTTGCACTGGGATTACATGGAATGTGTGCTCCATATATATGCCATTTTAATCATAGACTAGATTTTTCTTTTTATCTTTCAGCTTGTTTATACCAGTGTGTTGACATATACAATCTGTCATATGGACAGCACACTGCCTAGCTTAACATAGGTCTCATCATAATCTCATGGCCAAGATTGAGACCATCATTTGACCTTAATCACTTATCAAGCCTCTGGGCACTACACTTAACAGAGTGAGTCCTGGGAAATCACTGTAATTCTGTCAGACCTACTGGTATAACAATGCTGCATGAATAATAAGTGCTGTCATCTATTCAGGGATCATAGACATTAGTGAACTCATGTTATTAAACTGTAATTTTCCATGTTTCCCCTTGTGCTCTTAAATGTATGTGTGTTCATATATCCAACTCTTTTCAGGTTATGTTCATACTAACATCAGGGAGCACATCAAAACTGGATGTGGCCTTGATTGGCTTGCTATCAAACTGATTAATTCAGGCATTTAAATTAAAAGAATTGGTGTCACCCAATAATTATTGTTGCTTGCATACCTATTAGGATGTCAGTCTTCAAACTCATTCATTTTAATTAATAAAGTAAAAGCTTTAATTACTTACTATATTAAAAAAAGGAATAATGAAGAGCATTATTTTGATATAGTATATATGTAATATGTTTGAGAGCAAACACAACACCTGGGTTTTCTAAAACTGTACAATGTATTTTACAATGTAAATTCGATGAGCTTTATTTAACGCTGGATCTGAAACTGTTTTTGTGACATTAAGATTCAAGGCTTTTTCAGACTCCTTACCTCACTCAACCCTTGCATGACAAGCCAAGCATCACATCTTTCTGTATCTGGCCAAGTGCAGTTTTAGAGCAGCTTGTGTGGTGTGGTGAAACTCTGTGTAAACATACTGAGAGGTTGTCTCTGCTCCCTGCGAGCTGTGTTATGATTTCTATCTTCAATATAGCCTAAGGCAATAGGCTGGAATGTAAAATCATGGCAATGCTGTTTGTGCCTTAGTTCACTGCCAGGGCATTGGCCAGAACAAAGAAAACTCTACTGCCTTCCTACTCTTCTCTGTGGCTGATTTGAAGCGCCATGAAGTCTTTTGTGTGTTTTCTGTAAACAGCAAGCAAGGATGAATAAGGTGCCCTGAGGGGTGGTCTTTCTGTTAAAGAGTCGGAGGAGAGTGAGAATTAAAAGAGAGATGGAGAGTGAGCCTGTTGATGCTCCCTGATGTACTGTAAGCAAACACTTCTGGAGCTGAAGCAGAGCAGAAAGAAAGGGATAGATGGGTCTGAAAAGTGTGGCTGCACACCTACAAGAGAAAAAGGAAAGCTGAAGCTATTACATAGTTTCAAAAATGTGCACAAGATCAATGATAAATATGAAAATCCCTAATCAAATTGTTGACCAAGCAATGTGGAAAAAAGAAAAGGTTAAAGTAATCTGCATACTGTGATGATGCTGTAATTATGTTATTATTATAATTATTATATTACAAACCCGCTAATGCAAGATAATGTAAGGTATCGCACGGTGAGCACACCTGTATGGTTTGAGTCATCTTGTCTGCATCATCATGCTAAATAGTCAGAGTTATGACAGGTAGTGCAATGCAAAGAGATCATGCCGATACTTACGCACATTAAAGATAAACCCACCCACTCAGGCCCTATAAATCCAAGGAAAGACAGCTGCTTAAATGACAACAAATGCTTACACAAACAGAGGCTGTTGTCTGCCAATGACCTAGTAAAGCCAGATGAACTTAGTCATGCATAATTTGTGGTGCTATTCTCTTTTTTCTTTTTCTTTTTTTTTCCCTTTTTTGAATATGTGATGACACATACAGTTTTATATGAGGTCTGGTCTGCTCATGCACGTGCTGCCAGAGCATGAGGAAATATCCCATATGGCAGTGGAGCAATGCATAGAACACATACAGATGCCACAAACACACACACACACAAATGATTAAATAAAATACATCTGCAACATTACAAGCATAAGCAAGTCATACGCCTTAATGTCACTGAGTCCAGAAAAAATACTTAAATATTCCTAAGTTCCTATTTAAATAATTGAAAAATAAACACAGAAGAGTCTGGTAGAATGCATAATCAAGAACCTCACATTTTTATTCTCTCCTGATAAAATGATAGTAAGCCAATGTTGGCCTGCATTACTATGATTGATAAAGGATTATTATGGTGGACTTTTATTCAGTGTCTCTTTTGTTATTCTGTAGTTCCCTTCTGCATGAATTACTGTGCAATCTATTGCCCATGTGCAACTGCTGCTAGTATTTGTGTTATTGTGTTATCTGTTGTGTTTTTTTTACTGTTTTTTTTCTCTTGTACAGTTTTTATATTATATTATATTATATTATATAATTTATTTTTTCTATACTGTTTTAATACTGTTTTTTTCTCTATCCACTTTGCTGCTGTAAAGATTGGAATTTGGCATTGTGGACTATTAAGGACTATCTTATCTTATCTTATCTTATCTTATCTTATCTTATCTTATTTCACAATTATTCCATGGGAAATGACATAGTTTATGTGCATAAAATCTCTGAAGCGGGGAGTAAAAGATGTCACTGAGTTCAGAGAGTAAGACTGTCAGGGTGGGGATGGGGTGGGGAGAACTGTATAGGATGTGAAAAAAGTACAGAGTCATGGGTTATAATGTTTAGTCTGGTCATAATGTGCTGAGTATTACTCAGCACTGTGCTGGGGTTCATAGGCCATCCTCTAGGGAATTATAGTAGATTATGGCTTTGCTCTCTGTTGTCATCACAGATCTCTCCCTATTTAAGTATTGGATTTTCTTCTGTGACCTGTGCTCTTAGTGAGTACTGCTATGTTATCCTGCAGTTTCACCCCTTTTTACTTACTGACCCAAATGTCCTAGGTGCTATCAGTTGAAGACTGTAAAAATTGTGGCTTTAAAATATTTTTTTAAGAATTTACGTTTTCTGTCAAAGGTCAGTTGTTGACCCTGCTTCATCTGTTCTCTGTCTCTGGTCCATCAGAGGGAGTGCTCAAATTTCATCAAGGTGTTGCAGCCGTTCAACCAGACCCATGTATATGTGTGTGGGACAGGAGCCTTCCACCCAGTGTGTTCCTACCTGGAGGTGGGCAAGAAACCAGAGGTACAAGCACACATTACATTTCCTTTTACTTCCTCAACTTGTTGTCAAACACAATAATGCATGTGTGCGTTAATATATAAAGGCTATTCTAAGTTTCATATTACAGTGAAGTTTAAGTATTTGAGTTGTGACTATTTCTCGTTGGGTGTGAGTGCATTCTCTTCCTAATTAATGATTTGCTAAGTACATAAAAATGGTTTGATTCCGCAAAATGAGGTGGAAAATTAAACACAGGGTTTCATAGTCGGGGGGATTTCCAATTCATCACTCTAATATGTATCTGCTATATGCGTATGTGTGTTCATTTGAGTATGAGCAAAGGAAATTGCTCTCTTTTCCTCCAAATGTCACTGAGTCAGACTTATAAATGTGTGTTTCATACTCATTAGACAGCTATTTACAGACAATTAGAGGCAGGACATTTCCCTGGGAAAAGCGGTCTACTGCATATAGATCATAACCGAGAAATGAAATTCATCTGATGGTTTTCCTATGAGTGTCTAGGTCACCATCTAATAGAGAGTGATGAGATTTATTGTTTTCATTTTCAGTCCTTTCAGTCTATGATGGTGCGGACATGGTTTTCTACTTTTTAAACCACATTGTATGGCAATGTCACATAACGTATTCTTTATCTCCATATTACATTAACTATGTGAAGTAAAAACGTGCATATTTAGTTATATATTTAAAATATTAATTTCATTTGTTAATGATGTTGAAGATTTTGCTTTACATTTTTATATGATTCTCAATGAAACATGGAAACCCCATTCTTCGTAGGAAATTTTAAATACAGTTTTGCAGGTGGCAAAACCTATACTACAGTTTTCTCCCAGCATCTATGTCATGATGTGCTGACAGCAAAATGGGTTATCCAGAGAGAATTCCACTCATACTGAAGCAACTAGAGAGAGAGCACTGAAGAAAATTTAGCATTTGAATGTTCACTGCAACTCTTGTGACTTTCAGTCTCTTAATGTCCAGGACAGTGTGTTCAGACTGGAGCCTCACATAGAAAACGGCAGAGGGAAGAGTCCTTATGATCCCAAGTTGTACACTGCCTCCATGCTAATTGGTGAGTATTAAACTGGAAACACTGTTCTGCTTGTTAAAGCAAAGTCATATAAAAACATGGGAGTCCTGAAAGCACCTTCTGCCTTGCTCTTTCATTTCAGCAGATATATAGGGTGTAAAATAAATGTGAATAACAGAACAGGGCATTCCTGTCATTTATTACAAGCGGATCTGCTCTGTAGTTTGTATTTACACACTGGGAACCCGTCATTGGCAGGACTATAAACTCTATTTCAATCTGAATTAACCTCCTTTAAGTGCTGGGTGTACAAGGCAGATTCTTTGCACTGAATTCACATATTTGGCAGATAAAACGGAGCTATGCGAGCATGTATTTCCTTTCTAACCCCAATTATTGCCAGTCACATTGTGTTATATCACACCGTTTAACATAGCAGATGGCCATTTTCCAGCCCATCACCACTCATCTCTTCTCCCCTTTCTTTCTCCCCTCTCACTAGCATTATTATGTACTCCCCCTGTCTCACACCTCGGTCCTGTCCCTCCTCATCTGTCCCTCCATTCGTTCATCCTTCCTTTGCCTCCCCTCTCAGCCCTGCCTACTGTGTTAATGTCAATTTCACACTCCTGATGTTCATCACGTCCATCACGGTCTGTGTTCTCTCAGGACACCAACTCTACCTGTACTGCTAAGCCCCTGAACAATTCCTCAGATTTTCGCAGACCTTCCACCTGCATCGCTGGGGAGAAATCACCTCTGACTGTTTTCTCATCCAGTGTTACAGCACTAACACACTTAATTCTTTTTACTCTCAGATGGGGAACTGTATGCTGGGACATCAGCTGACTTCATGGGACGGGACTTTGCCATCTTTCGTACTCTCGGCAAGCATCACCCAATCAGGACGGAACAACATGACTCCCGGTGGCTAAATGGTAAGAGAGAGGAGAAAAATCATTGGCCAACTCTTTGATCATATTCATGATTAGTTTGAAAATGCAATACTTTTTGGGATTGATTTAGCAAGCTATGTCCTTTTTTAACATTTTCATTGGTGGTAGGTGATGTCATGTCTGATGTTGCTATTCTGACAGACTGTATCAGTACAGTTCTTGCCCCTACTTTATTTTCCATCGATATGCTACCATCATGCATTTAAATTAGTAGCATTATTATAGCTTTCCACTTTTATGCAGATGACACTCAGCTGTACTTGTCTGTCAAACACAATGATCTCAGAAAAAAACTAACTAACCTAAAAGACTGCCTGTATTCCATGGACTCTGACTATGAGAGACACCGTTCCAAATCTTTTCTCGAATTAAATGACGATAAAACAAAAGTCCTTATTATTGGCACTCAAACAAGCAGTCTCTTTAAGACTTTGATCTTCTATACCAAGCTGTAAGACATACAGTAAGAATTTAGGTGCCACATTTTAATCTTGTCCTAATTTTTCTGTTCAAGAAACATATTCTGTTTATTGACTGAACAAGGAATCCATGCTTTGAGTCTTCACAACTATGTTATTGCAATTCATTTATATTCCTGCAAGTGTTTGATTCTCTCTATAGGCTGCCAACAGAGTTTAGAATTCAATGTAAAACTTATTTTATTACCTAAGATCTAAATGTACATGAATAGGGATTTTTGTAACTGTATAACCACTGCAAATCTCTTATGTTGGCTAACTGGATGTGTCCACTGGATGTTCTTGCACTTAAAATGCAGTAATTGCTATGCTGCCTGTTTAAAAATTTCATAGATGCTTTTATTGTGAAGCACTTCATAATCTTTTTTTGAAAATTAATTAACACTTTTAGATAAAACACAATTACTTACTAACTTGATTTTATTTTAAACGTGTGTGTCTCTCTGTGTTGCAGATCCCAGGTTTGTGGGCGTTCATCTGATTCCAGAGAGCGACAACCCTGAAGATGACAAAATCTACTTGTTCTTCAAAGAGAACGCTATGGATGGAGAGCATGCTGGGAAGGCCACACATGCTCGCATTGGACAGCTCTGCAAAGTATGCATACACATATTAACACAAAGCCACATATCCTCACACAAGCTGGCTCTTGCAAAGGAAAATTTAGACACACACAAAAGGGGAGAGACAAAGACACACACACTCTTAGACAGACATTATGTGAAATAGCTTCTCTATCTGGAAAAACACTTGACGGGTGTCTGAGTGGCTTTCATAATGGCAGGTTTCAGGGGCTGTTATCTGTGATTATTTTTAGCCTGGAGAAGAGTGGGCTTTGTTGTGTGCGGTACAATCGCCCCCCGAAGACAGAAACCTGAGAGAAATGTTAAATGTCACCAGAACCTGAGATGCAAAGGCGCTGTCAATGGCAGCACTGTTATCCTAATGCCAGGCATTGGCACTGATTGGGACTTATACACCCTCCATCTGCAGGGGATGGTTATGTTAAACCGCTGGCTTTGTATCAGCTTTCACGTTCCAAATCCTATTCTTATTCATTAAGCAGGAATCCACTAAGCTGACGGCAGATCAGTGAGTGATGTCCAGCCTCGGCCTCCTATTTAGCTGCATATCGTGCCTCTGTCATAACAGCCTGATTACCCAGAATGTCAGGAATCTGCTACGCTCAGTACAAGACAAGCCATCCATTATGCGAGACGTGTTATTAATTTGGCCCTATGCATATTTGGTCACATTCTAATTTATTGTCATAAATCAACACCAAGTGGGATAAGTTTATGAGCCAGCACATTGTGCCTCTGTGTTTGTCTGCTATGTTCTGGAAAACAAACACTATACTGTGAGACATACAGACACATACTGTTAGAGTATGTACTGACACACACAGGCTACTTTAGAGGCAGTTTTCTTCACACCATCTAAAAACATAGAACATAGCAGATAGAACATAGCAGACAAACACAGAGTTGCAATCTGCAACTACATGGATAGATGCCACTAAATCCGACACACTGGAACTTTAAAGAGGCAAATATTGATCAATCAATTGATGTTCAATTAATAGATAGAATTCTGCTTATGTCTTTTAAATAAGCTTTTTGGCGTATATCTTATACACTGAGCTGTTACATTTTTTAAAAACTATCTGTGGCTTTAAGGAAGATGTTTGCTTACATAACTTTTAATCTTAAGGTCTCTTAAGGTTCCTTGGTAAGCCCTGTAATACCAGTTCTCCACAATCACTAAAGGGATATTGTCCTTTGACTTTGAAGGGCTTTCTCTCTTCTTTCCAAACTGTTTTGTAAAATGAATGACACGATTGTGTCTACAGTATGCTTTAAAAGGCATGAGAGGGGGGAAATGACAGCATCAGTGGCATAGGGTTGGGAGTGCTCATGCTCTATATCCAGCTAGCAAGAAAATGCCTCACCCCATTCAACCAAAGGGTAATGAGGCATACATTCTAAGCTCAGCAAAAGAATGTAAAATTAGGCAATAAAAGTCCTCCATTAACATTATATATCAAATGCATTTTTCCCCATTTTACAAGACATGTATCTGCATACAAATACAAAAACTTAGAGTTTAAAGTTAATTTATAATTATATCCTAAAAAATTGAAAGTAACTGCGGAAAAAAAGTAGTAATTGTCTCAGTATTTCTGTAATTTCCAAATAATTTAACTTTCCAGCTGAATGTCTACATGTGATTTGTCCAACAGAATGACCTGGGAGGTCACAGGAGTCTGGTGAATAAGTGGACCACCTTCTTGAAGGCACGACTTATTTGCTCCGTGCCTGGCAGTAATGGAATAGACACTCACTTTGATGAACTACGTGAGTGATTGCTCCCATAACTTAAAACGTGTTTCATGCATTATGTCCTGAATATGAAATGCTATCTTTCCTGCGGAAGTGGTGTGTTTGTAATATATAGTGTCTTCCCGTTGGTTTTCAGAGGATGTTTTTCTCATGAGCACAAAGGACCCTAAGAGTCCAATCATCTATGCAGTATTTACCACTTCCAGGTACTGTAGATGACATTGAAATAGTTGCATAATCACTGATTGCATAACCCACAATTTCAACAAGAACTTGACTTTTCCTTGTCTGATTTATTTCGTTTTGCCCATTAGCAACATCTTCAAGGGTTCAGCTGTGTGTATGTACAGCATGACAGACATCAGGAGAGTATTCCTGGGTCCTTACGCTCATAGAGATGGACCCAACTACCAGTGGGTGCCATTCCAGGGACGTGTTCCTTACCCACGTCCTGGGACAGTGAGTACACTATGCTCTTAACTGAGATGTCAGTGTGCTGGAAAGTTAATTCACCTTTATGTCCTGCAGTGTAATTGTTATGATGATTAACTTTTTTTTTCTCCACAGTGCCCAAGCAAGACATTTGGAGGATTTGATACTACGAAGGATCTTCCTGATGAAGTCGTAACGTTTGCCAGAAGCCACCCAGCCATGTTCAACCCTGTCTACCCCATCAACAATCGACCAATCATAGTCAAAACAGATGTGGACTACCAGTTCACCCAGATAGTGGTGGATAAAGTAGAAGCAGAAGATGGCCAGTATGACGTCATGTTCATAGGCACAGGTATACAGTTCTATACATTTGCATATACTGTATACTGTTAACTGGGACATTATCACAGTAAATTGAGCAGTCTATTGACTGATTAAAATAGATGGATAAGCATATACTACGATTAACTCAATGCGTGTGTTGTCATTGTTTGCTAGACATGGGGACGATACTGAAAGTGGTATCCATCCCCAGAGGTTCCTGGCATGACCTGGAGGAGGTCCTATTGGAAGAAATGACTGTCTTCAGAGTATGTTATTATCTTATTCCCTGTATTACATCTCCTGGTTAAATGATGACTGTAGAATCAGCACATGTTGTCAAATCAATGTTTTATTGTCATTTTGTTATTTCTTACAGGAACCAACAGCCATTACAGCAATGGAGCTTTCAACTAAACAGGTATTGATTGTAGTTCTTACTGCATGTAAAATGAAACTACATGTAGCAGAAAAAAACAGTGTAGTCAATGTGGAGATATGATACATAATGAAAAGTGTTGGAATAGCTATTCTTTTATCTATTCTCTTATCTGAAAAAACTTGCCTCTTAGAGAGTAAAAGCTTTTCCACGTACGTGGCACACCTTGCTGCACAGCTGAAATACAGAACAAAGACATACTTGTCTGGATATTTTAAACACTTTGAGATGAATCATTTTATCTCACAAAGATCTCAATTGTTGGCTTTTCAAAAGCAATTAGCTCATCAACTTAAATGGCAGGGAGAGACAAAACATGTCAGCTAATTGACAGGTAGGACGGTGCTGAGCACCTGTAGTAAGATGGTCTGTCCACATTCCAGACTTGTATTGTTGCTTCACTGACAAACATAAGCTGAGCCTACTGAGCTACAGTAGGGGTAAAACTCACAGCACATCCAGACCTAAAACCTAAATTGTAGATCCAAAGACATACAGTTTTTTTTGTCTTTCTCTCTTTTACCTGCACAGCAACAACTGTACCTGGGTTCAGACATTGGTGTGTCCCAGATGCCTTTGCATCGGTGTGAGGTTTATGGGAAGGCCTGTGCTGAATGCTGCCTGGCAAGGGACCCTTACTGTGCATGGGATGGCACTGAGTGCTCCAGATACTTTCCCATGGCTAAGAGGTACTGAATACATACTCAACATTCACATTTGTCACATCAATATCTTACCATTGTGTTTTACAAGCTGCTCAACACCTTGAACACAGCAACTAATCAGCACTTCAAAATATTGAGCAGGTATTTCTGTTTTTTTTTAAAAGTATACACAGACTTTGGTGCATGTGATAAATCCACATATTCTTGAACTGAACACAGATCTGCTTTCATATGAAAAGAACAACCTCAACAGAGAAGTGTATTTTGTTTTTGCATAACAACAACCTGCTTTAGATTTAAACATGTCAAATATACAACATATATACATATAAACACATGTATGAATCATGCTTGTTTGAGAATGACTTTTGTTGTGTTTACATACTGACTATATTTTTCAGAGGTAAAACCAGATTATACAAAAGTGTTTTCACGTACAGATTGAGGACATATGCAGTCAGGCTGTGATTCAGGGGCTGGAGCTAGGGCACACTTATAGTGCAGGCTTTGTATATTTGCCAAAAACCCCTAAAGGTATAGGGGTCGTGTTTCTAAAGCTAGAAATATAACCTGCCTCATGTGTTTACTGTAAATGAGAACCAATGTCACTGATGTCTGGAGGCTGTCTGGCAAACCAGGGGTGAGGTGGGTGTTAGAGGTTTGGTGGTAGTGTGGTTGTAGTAGTGGACTGATCTGTGTGTGTTCATGTATGTGCATGCTTGTGTGTGCTCGGTGTGCAGCCTCCCACTCATAGTTCCATGGGGCTTATTGATTTGAATGCTAGCTGCAGAGTATCCTGTTCTCACTGTTAGTTGAACTCCAGAGTCCTACATTCAAAGAAAAGACAGCCAGAGAAAACTCTTACCAAACACCTAATGTGGGTTTAGAGCAATGGAAAGCAGAGTGGGATAAGTCTACATTTTGCTTTGGTGTCTTTAGAGTTTCTTCAATTATTGTTTACAGAAAAAAATCCTAAAGGTTATGATTGAAACTGTACTTGAAACTCCATCTCTTTTGCATCTGCAACCAGAGAGTTGACAGGCTGAAATGATTGATTAGGTTTGAATTCCTCTGTCTTACACACCCTATAATTAAAGCTTTTCTGTGATGGTCTGGGCTGCTTGCTGTTAGCTGTTAGTATCTATTTGTGTTGGCGTCCACTATTGCTGCACATCCAAACCACATTCAGATACACACACACTCTCTCTCTCTACACACCTATTATCTCTCTCACACACACAGCCATACAAAGAAACCTGTGTCTGCTGACTCATGAAGGTGTTTATATTTGTGTACCTGCAGGAGAACAAGGCGACAAGATATCAGGAATGGAGATCCACTCACACAGTGCTCAGATCTGCAACACCATGGTATATAAATTAAACAAATGCAATTTACAAACTGTGTTATCAAGGCAATGTGCAATAAAACTGTTTTATGTTGGTATCACATTATTACTCTTATTAATAACATATATAATTTTGAATTTTAAAATGATGTGCTGAAGCAAGTAACAACCTGACTGTTTAAATATATATATATAAAAAAATATATAAAAATAAACACAAAGAGCATTTTTTTTTCTTTGAACATAAAAATGGACCCAAAACTGCTGCTTGCCTTTCCTGAAGTGATCAGAACATTAGCAAGGCCAGCTGAATGTGTGTGGAGTTGTGTCTTTGTGTTTTATGTGTTTCTGGTGGTGTGAAGATTAGAGTCGGTCCATGTGAAGCTTATAATTAACATGGTCAGGATTCCTCCAAGTCTCCTCTCTGTCGCTAAGTCCTCCAGTCTACTTCCCTGTTAGTGGTCTTGGTCCAAAAACAGGAATCATACTGCTGTCTCGTTCTCTTGATTACAATTAATTACATTCTTTTCATTTAATTGAAAAAAAAAAAAATAAATAAAAATTGATCAAAATTTGCTGATTTGAGGAGGAACTAATACTGTTACTAACCTAGTTGCTAACTTCTGATTGTATATTTTAGCCAAAGATCTCAGATGCCAGACACAACACTCTATAAAGTGTTTTTAGTATTCTATAGCAGGATTTACTGCAGTCTGAATTGTTAAATTTTAAATAGGTTATAGGAGATCAGTCAGAAGAACACTGACCTTACAGCGCAAAAGCTCTTTGACTGAGAATCATTGCACATACTTGACTAAATAAAACCCAGATTTTAGTTACGGGCCATTTCCTCCAGTGACTGCCTCTGTGGTGGGAGCTGCCTATTCTGCAGATGATTGAGTGTGATAAGAGAAGAGACAGGATAATGTGACAAAATAATGTAAAATGCAGTCATTGAAAAATCTAAAACCAGGCCCCTAACACAGGCAGTACTCAGAGAAGCAGAAAAGCAGAGAGTGTTTTATGCAGAAAATTACAAAAAATCACAAAAGTTGTCCATAGCGCTGTCTTAATTTTTTTTGTCTGTAAAATAAATCAAATATCACATTAAATAGACTCACAAGCCAGTCTCTAAACACTTACCACAATAGAATGGTAGATGCTGAGATCTCCAATTGACTACATAGACAAGACATTCAGCTATTACCATAACCGATAATATCTGTAGCAAACTAGAAAAATCATTTACTTGAACTTCTTGTATGACATTTTTTTATCTAGATGAACTAAATGGGCAGACGACTCTCCTGGATAAAACTGTCTATGGTGTGGAGAACAGCAGTACTTTCCTCGAGTGCAGTCCCAAGTCCCAGAGAGCCATGACTTACTGGCAGTATCAGCACTCTTCTGATGACCGCAAACAAGAGGTTGGCACTACTTCTGCACACACTTCATCTATTTTGTTGAAAGAGATTCAAGTATAGTTTGTCTGTAGAGCAGATAACAAATGATAGATAATACTTACTAATAGCGATTATTTTAGATAATACTGTACCATATTTTATGAATATTTAATGCCATAGTTGATTCAATTGAAATACAGTTGAGGTATAACTAATTAGTCTTCTATCTTTACTATCTTTATCTTTGTGTCACTCTGTCTCTATTGCTTCCAATTTTCTCATTCTGTAGATCAAATCAGAGGAACGTTTCATCCGCACAGACCAGGGTCTACTGATTCGCACACTTAACAAAAAGGATTCTGGGATCTATCAGTGCCAGGCGGTGGAGCATGGATTTATGCAGACGCTTCTGAAGGTAACCTTAGAAGTCATTGACACTGAGCGCCTGGAGGATCTGCTGCATCGCAATGAAGAGGCAACAGCCAGCGCCCCTGCCCAGGATCATTCTTCACCTCAAGAGACTCCTAATCAAAAGCTGTGGTACAGAGACTTCCTGTCTTTGGTCAATCACCCAACTCTGAACAGTGTGGACGAGTTCTGTGAGCAGGTCTGGAAAAGGGAGAGGAAGCACAGGAGGCAGAAAGCTCACCTGGTGCAGCAAGTACAAATACACCAGCAGCAGCAGCAGCAGAAGGTTCTGGTGAACCCTCACACCCACATGCATGCTCAAGGGCTGGCAGCCAAGTGGAAACACCTGCAAGACAGGCAGAAGGGACGCAACCGCAGGACCCATGAACTGGAGAGGGCCCCCCGCAGTGTCTGACCTATAAACCTTGACTTCTAACAACCAAACCAGAAACCACACCCAGTGCTCATTCTGTAACCCTAATTAACTTACCCACTTTTCTCCTTCATAGTGAGATACAGACTTCTCCCACAAAGACTGGATAGAAAAGTTAAACTGGAAAAAGGTAATACTACCCTGATCTGCCGGCTGTTGTGTTCTGCGCGTGGGCAGCCATGTTTACAATACGCCAGCACAGAGGACTGCAGGAAACAGGATGTTGTATCACGCCAGACCACTGGAGCATATTATCTCAGCTGGCCTCTTTGGCCTGGACACTGCAGAGGGACAGCGTCAACCAGCACAAGAACTGGATACATACAGTACATATACCCACCCTGTAGACATGACTGACTCATGTTGAGATGGTTGTGTCAATGGCATTGTCTCATGGCATGCTAGTTAGGTGTCTTTATCAGTGTGCAACTAAAGTAGATACCTAAAAATACCAGATAATTTCTTTTCTACTTCACAATTATAAAAGAGGCGGTGGGATTGTATTAAAAACAGTGTGGAGAGTAAATGGAATTGCAGTGGAATTACAAGCACACAATGAGTGAAGCTCATGGAAAGCATAAGATGGTCATTGGTCAATTTTAGTATTATGGATAGTTAAATCAGTCAACATGAGAAAGAAAAATGCCCAAGCACTGCAAGAATAGAGCAACAGTCACCATTTGTCGACAAATATAATTATGTAGCTAAGATGTGTAAATACTGTATTCTATGACGTCTCCTCATACTAAAGGGAATGGCTTGCAGTTGTCTTGTTGCTTTATGTTGTTTCCCCAGATAGGAATTTATTTAAGAAAAAGTCTTTCAAAAGCAGTTGTAAACAGGGAGATTTTGTACTAGTCTGTGTGTCTACGCCCTAGATAAGCTTCCAAAACGAAGTCAGGTTTTATTATTCTGTTTTGTTTATCTTATTCTTTTGAATCATCAGATTCTTTCCAGTGTCAACAGTCGTCAAGTTGGCTGTCACTTTATAGGGATGTCTGCCAACTGCATCATCTCAGCGCACGAAATGTTATACTTAGTTCTTCCATGTTCATTTAATTTGTATACACTTTGTTACCACTACGTGTGTATTTATTGATATACAATTATGTACATTGTGCAAATATTTTTCCATTTGCGGGCTTTTTTTTCCTTGCAATTTATCATTTGGTTTGATTAATTTGATTTGCATCACCAATTTCTTAAATAACTGTATTATCACAAAGACTGGGAGTTATTTATCAAAATGATCAATATTACATGCATTACATATCAAATGCACTGAACAATAAGCCAGTATCCATACTGTATATTTTTTTTCACATTTGTTGCCTCATAGCCACATTCTTCACAGGCAGCGCAGTGTAACAACTTAATTTCACTGCATGTAACAAAAAAACCCTCTTCATTTTTCTGATGATAACAATCCTTTACACAATGCACACACACACACACACACACACAAACACAAACCTGGAATGTAGCTGTGAACATTATGTAAATATAAATACTATGGTCTATGTTTGACAAGTATGACACTGTGTACTAGTGCATGTGAATACTATTGTAGTGTTCCTGTTTTGCTATAGCAATGATATACTAGTCTGGTGTTTTCACCATTATTCTGTTGTTTGCTTATGCAGTACACAATATTAACTATTTCAAAGATGTACATACTATTTCTGTCAGGACTCTAAACTGTATAATTGATTATTCCTATAGTAGGTATTGATAAAAAAAAAATATAAACAAGATCTAAACAGGATCTCTCTATGGACTTAAATGTCTACAGACCAGTTAACAACAATAGACAACAACACTGAACAATGTCAGTTGAGCATTGCAACAAATCAGTATGTCAGATGACCTTGTCTAGTGAGTGTTTGCAAACCTCATCTGCTTTTGGAAGCCATGACGTAGGAAGATGAGAAAGTGATTTTAGGCTAATAAGATGAATTGGATGCCAGAGTTGTGGAACTTTCAGTAAAGATGGGCATATAATAAGATCATCATTATAAAGAGGAAAGGGTGCCTTACTGCATCAGTCTTGGACATACAACGAAAGTGAGGAAATTAAGTGCTGCTGCTGCGGCTGCTGCTTTTTGGCATGATGGTGATGGTGGTGATGTATTCTACTGATCTAATAAATGTCTCTTCATAAAGTTCTGGTTTCATTAAATCTATTTTTAATGTGCTATGTCTTGCTGCTATCATGGTATGTGGTTAGTGAACAGAAAAGTTTCCTGTAGAGTAGATGATCAGATTAGATTTTGGAGTACCTTGCTGTGTATATTTCCATATTAATGAGAAAATCTTTTATAAACGTATCCTTAATTTTGGGATTTATTTAATGCTGTACTTGTCTTTATGTCCTGGCAAGTAATTTGACATAGAAAAATGGGCTAATTAACAATTTAATTAGTTGAAGTAATTAACATAACTGATAATATATTCAAATTTAAAGTGGTTAAGGAAGAATATCAGTCTGCTCAAGTGCCTCTCAGAATATAAAAAGTATGTACTATGTTGTGCCTCAGGCAGTAGAGGAATTACTGTAAGTTGTTATTAAGACCTTGATGTGTGATGTGATGTGAATTATACATGAGGGCCCCTACAGTCTTTAATTGAAGCCCAGCTGTTGTATTTGCATATCAACAGGAGTTTAGGTTAGAGATACGGTAGAACTTTGGCTTTCAGTTCCTAACTCAAGCTGGGCCTATAAAAAACAGAAAACCAACCCTTGCAATCAAATATTAGTTCTAAAGGACATAATTTCAATAGATGAAACAAAATATGAGCCGTGTTTTACTACTGCCCTCTGGTGTCTATGATACAAAATCACATATTCATCCTATAATACAAATAAAAAGGTGATTTCACATTTTCCATCTGTAGCATGTTGCTAGGTGCTTGGTATAAATATGGCAGCCCTGAAGCTGCAACAGAAAACACAGACTTTTATCAATAGAGCTTCTGTTGACACCTTTAGTCACCTTTGACCCAAGGTCAAAGGTCAGTCACCATATGCCTCACCTGGGCTTTGACCTTGACCTCTGTAGTCAGCTCAACTGCTGCTGTGAGAGCTCAAGGGTTTCAGTCCAAACTTCCTCAGACGCTTCAAAGGAAACATTATCGAGAGGTTCTAGTGTTTATAGTATCAGCAGGGAGACCATACACACACACGCGCACACACACACACACACAAAATCAGTAGTTGTGTGTTAGATATAATAGCATGAAGAATAAATATGGATAATATTCAGTTTTAGTGCCACTCATGGCAACATTTTAAATGAGCCACTGTTAGTATTAAAGGGGCAGTGTGTAGGATTTAGTGACATCTAGTGGTAAAGTTGCAGGTCGAAATTAGCTGAACACCACTCGTGTCTGTTTTTGACAACCCTGGACTGAGAATAGGCTGGAAAGTGTGTAGGAGAAACTGTGGTGGCTACAAAACTCACAAAAAATGCTAAAGGCCCTGTCTACAGCCTGTGTTTATTTCTTTTGGGCTACTGTAGAAACATGGTGGTTCAACATCAGACTCCGTGGAAGGCAACCTGAACCATCTGCAGATAAAAACAGCTCATTCTAAGGAAACAAGATGTGACTTTTCCTGCTCATAGTCTGACATTGCTAAACTTTGTTATAACAATGTGGACATAAGTGTGTGTACTGTACCACACCATACTGTAACACTATTTAAGGATTACTCAAACATTTTATCAACAATTCCCCCTATAAACCACAAAATCAGAGAATGCTGGAGCAGAAACAGAGTCAAATGTATGCAAATGTGCAGCATACAGTACACACTTTCATGATGTCATCATAGGGTCTATGAAAAGTAAATCCTTTCAAAGCTTTCTGACTTCGTACACAAATGTCCTTGATTACTTGATAGGATTTCTCTTTGGCATTGCAGTCATAGCACAGAGCGTGACTGCCCTCCAGTGGCTGAGGGGACCTCATTCAATACGGTTCATCTCCAACATCCCAAGCTGCCTGATGGAAAATAGCAGTTCCCCCTTTGACTGCCAGCCAAAGCCATGGATGAATGAGAAGGGCCTCCCTGACACTCATACAGAGGACAACTACACTCAGTGGAAAAACTGACACGTGAGTGACAAATTGGGAGACAGAGAAAAGGGAGGAATTAATAACCTTTTTACTGCTTGTGGAGATTATTAGTCAGTAAAGCTGTTTCAGTTTTATATCAGAGTTTGGTAAGAGTTGCATTCATCACAAACACATCTTAACACTTAACACAGTTTCAGTTATTACAATCAATTCAGTTCAGTTCAAAAAACTTAAATTTTTATTTTCAGAGCTCCATTTATGGATGTGACGCACAATGTACCTAAAAACACAAGTTTAAAACATCTAAAATAGTACACTCAATTGATATGGGTACACCAAAAACATTTGATCTAATAAATGATCAGAGAAAAGAAAATCTGACAAAATTGCATGAAATGGAGCACTGGAGACAGTTTCAAAGAAACTTGCGTGTGATTACTCACTCAGTTTAGACTCTTGACAAGAAAGGTGTGAATGAGGAGTCATCTGGTTGGCAGCTGAGTGAATATGTAAGACAAACACAGTGTATTAGTCTCTTTCCCTCCGACACTTATCATCTTTTACTGCAGCTGCATCCTTTACTGAAGCTTTAGGGAAGAGGCATTAGTGTATCCCCCCTATCAGGAGACTTGGAAAAAGTGAAATGGAGCAGAGATAGAGTCATTTATTTTACACGAGTGACAATACACTGGGTTGATGCTTCACTAGGCCCAGTAGGGTTCTGCTGCAGACATGCACAGATCATTGGTGCATTCCAGCTGTCTGTTCTGGGTCACCTCGAGAGACAACATGTTGGTTTATCTGAGATTGATGGAAAATTCCAAAAGCAGGAAATTCTGCACACATATTTTTGATATTTGGATCATAATGCAATCCACAGACATGGATTCTCCATTCAGTTTGACTGCTTTCATGAAAGAGGACACTTCACACAGCTGGGAGACGTGGACCGAGCTGCCTCACCCTCAGAGCCTCAGTGCAGCCAAATGCGACCCACTCAGCCACAACATGTATGACATTTACTCTACTAAAGAATGACCCTCTGAGAGCATCCAGCCCATTAGCCAGGCGAGAAATAACATTCACATGTCATTACTTGGTCCTGCCACATTATAGCAGAGTATGGTATATCACAGTGCTCTCAGAGTGAGGTAATGATCTATTCTTTTCCCTCCAGCTGTCACTTATCAAAGGCTTGGCAATTTCTGGCAGTGTCCCTGCCTGCGTCATAGAGTCAATACCAGTGTGAGTGTGTGTGTGGGGGGTTATAAAGTTAAAACTTAATTTTGCAGGCTGGGGAGGTGGGGGTTACTACATCATGGATGGATAATGCTTTGAAGCGTGGTCAGGTTCGTGTGTGTCTGTGTGTGCTGCTCTCCATCAGACTTTGGTAGCGTGTTAGTGTTGTTTTAACATGCAGGGGCGCATCCCTTGCCCAGGGTAAAACAGAGGACATGGTATTTAGCTGTGGCAGCTTGGCAGCGTAGTGCTGGTGGTTTGCTCTACAGTTGGCAGGAACCTCGAGTGTCTCTCTACTATGAGTGACAGCATGGCAGAAGAGGTTTAGGCTAGAGGTATGACAAGAACGTTACCTCATTTCCTATGTGGAAAAGAGCTGCTCTAATGTTATTTTTAAATCTGTCACATACTCATAGTGTAGTCTACTTGCTCTCATGGAACAAACATGCACTGATATTATGGACTTCACAATTACTTTACAGTACATGCCAATATACTGTACCATAACTTATATTTTAAAACCTTTTCAAGATATGTAGCTAAGCCAGACATGATGAGATTAAAATATTTCCATGTCACGTACAATATAACTGTGAATATGATCATAAGTATTTAAGTACTTTTCCTTTAAGTACAACAAAATTACACGATAATTAGCGGGCTGTCATCTCAAGTGTTACTATAACAGTTTTGACAGTTCAAAGATATGAAGCTTGTTTTTAAGAAGATGATCTGTCAGGTTTTGTTTTTTAGTCAGTTTTGGAACATCTTACAGATCAAGTAAACAAAAGAAATGTGAAGTATTTTTCTTCCTTCACCTTTACTAGCTCACACTCACTTATAAACATACAATTACTTTGGAGTAAACTTCACAGTGAATCGTCAATCACGCTAAGTCTGTTTGTAAGCTCCTTGAATTGTTTATCCTGTGGCAATGATGTATAAGCCCAGTAAATCAGTTTATGTGTACAGCACTGTGTAATGTAATTGTCTAGACAGTGCAATATTAGCACAGCATAATGTGAATCTGGGTGAAACTAAATTACAATGTGAGTGTTTATCTACCACATCAGGGTCAGATGGATGGAGGACAATGTGGGTATGAGTTTACATTGAAGACAGAAAGAAATTCCCTGTTTCCAAATCTTTTGACACATTTTATCATGTTTTTGGTAGAATGTGTTACTGGACTCAGAAGAATGCAGAAAAAGGATGAAATCAAAGAAAAGATGGTTGATTATCCGCCAAGCCTTCAAGGGCAACTATTGGCTACAGCAGATATTGGACTAACAGCATGAGAGGGGGCAATGAAAACAAAAACATGAAAGCTGCTGAAAGGAGTTGACGAGATAGGATCAGACAATGGATGAATGAGGCCTCGGGCTTGACCTTAGCAGACCCTAGGATGGGTCAAAGGTGGGTGCACCAAAGAGCAGAGGTCAATTTATTCAGAGAAATGTGTGAGTAGTCTGTGTCAGACTTGTTGCCTGGCTGCTCCCTTCCACACTTCTGATCTGTGACTGATTGAGGTCTGCTTAAAAGAGGGTTGGCTGGACCTCCTGGATCACATCACCCGATGGAAGGCTTAGCTCTGTCATTCTGGCTCAGCCCTGCTTACTGAATATTAGGAGAATAAAGAATCAGTGACTCCTCATTTTAAAGCCAAATAACCTAACTAATACCAAGAATCGGATGATGTAATGAATTTTAAAGTTCTGTATGTTAATATATCCATGAAGCAAATACTTTCCCCAAATTCCACCAAACTTTTTTAAATTGCCAAAACTTTGCAAGAATTTGGAAGTATACACAAATAAATCCCCATCTCCATCTCTGCTCCCTCCCT